GCTACGACCGCGGTTGTGATGTTCTTGATGGCTTATGAGACCTGGTGGGTCTTTTTTGTCCGTTACTTGTAACTAAGTGCTGACTTGATCGACGATATCGCCTATAGAGCACAGACTCCTCGTGAAAGACCGCCCCGTCGACGATTCCTGAGACCCCCGTCCGGGCCGCCCGTAGTTTTCCACTCGAACATTCCTTGTAAGAGCTCAAATGATTATCCAGATCATTCTCAGCCTGACGATTCGCACCGACAGCGAGCCCATCTCGCCATCCTCAATCAGCAACGGACGCAAGGCTTAGTACATGGATGATGGCCTGAGGCCTCCAGCAGCAAATTCACGACTCACGACTCACGAGCAGACTCACTGGTACCAACTGTGCACATGCATACACTACCCAATGCTCCTCTAGGAAGTGCAGGAATGGCCTTTACGGGAGTTTTCGAAGGCCATCTAAGTATATTTTGCGGTGCACAATGATGATGTACGTTCTCGAAAGACAGCATAGTATGATAGGTATGGCATGGCTACGCGCACGATGTATGCATAATTAGTATGTAGCATGTTACGGGAGACTTTCAGTGCTCGCCCATTTCTTGAGCTCCTTTTATGAGACGGGTCGCCTGATCGGAGCGTGGCCTGATGTCGCATTCAAACGGCATCGGATGTCTGATACACGCCGGATGAGCATTACACATTCCTACCGAGTTGAACGAACCCACTTACAGAGTCAGCCCTGGACGGAACAACGGCTCAGAGGGCGGCTGGCCTGCCTTCGGTTTGATAGCGAAGGCGGAAAGGATGCAGGCGGAGGTGTACCACGTCGCGTCGTGCGCCATGAATCGACCCTGTGCAGCGCATGAGCGAGTTTGCACCTGGAGTAAGTACTACCGGGCCCGCTTACCGCACAGATTCGTTTTCCGAAGCCGAAGACGGCCTCTGGTCCTTGCACGTTCGCGTCGAGCTGGCCGCTGGCCGTTAGAAACCTTTCAGGTAAGAACGTGTCCGGTTGAGGGTATGTAGTCGGGTCTTTCATGATCGCCCTGTTACTGACGTTTAATGACAGGCGGACACAGGCGGACTGTAGTAGGGGCCGGTGCTTTACCATGAGTTGCACAAGATCACAGTGCCCTTCGGAATAAAGTAGCCCTTATATATGTCATCCTCAGCGCTGACGTGCGGTAGCCCTGTCCCCGACGGTGAGCATTCATCGAGAACTCAGACAAGCAGACTTACCTATAGGCATGAGCACTCCCCAGCGAATGACCTCTTTCACGATCGCCGAGATGTATGGCAACGCGATCTCATCCGAGAAGTCTGGAAGGCGAGAGTCCCCGACGACCCTGTCCAGCTCTTCATGTGCACGTCGTTGCGCCTCCGGAAATAGAAGCATGGCGAGGACGAAGGCTTCCATGTAGGCCACAGTCTATCGCCAAAAAGTGACAAGGGGACGGACGTGTATCAACATAAATACGTACGGTGTCTGATGCAGCTGCAGAATGTGGGTGGTAAGCAGATACATCAACGCAGTAAAAAAGGTAGCTCGCCCGAGTACGCGGTGGCGCAAACACTCTTGATGGCATACTCCGCTGACCTTGAGCTCGTTGCGTCACCGCTCAAGTCATTCAACAACTCGGTTGCGAGACAATGTGTCGCTCTTCCGTGACCCTACAGCATCGTCAGATAAGACGCGCGTGATGGGACACGACTCACAAGTTCATCCTTGAGCCACTCATATGGAACGTTGAACATGGCAAGAGCATTGAATTTCCATTCGTCGGTCTGCTTCTTCCAATCCATTCCGGGGAGCCAGGATGGAAGGTGTTGAACTATTGCCATGGTTCGCCAACACCGATAAGCGGGATCGAAACGGACAAAGAGTACTCACGCCAGGGAAGAACATCCACGGCCCATCCATCCAGTGACCTGTCAAACCCTTCTTGAGAGCTATTGGCGTAAGCGACGAACTCGTCGTTCTCGGGCTTCACCTTGATGCCATAAACTATGTCGAGGATCAGTGAACTCGCCATGCTATGATCGTCCCGAGTCGTCATCAGCGTCTACTTACATTCAACCTAAGAACGCACGCACTAGGGGATATGGTGAAGGAAGTCGTCCGGTGTTTCCAAGAGACGGTGCAGGAGTGCACCGGCCATCCTCTTCTCGTGCGGCCGCCATTTCCGAGCTTCGATTTGACGGAAATGCCGTTGGAACATGGGGCGGCATGTTTTCCATATCTCGAAGTCTGGTGTAAGCCCGAAGTTCCACCCGAGTCCGACGCTGAGAAGGGGATATATCCTTGATCATGAGCATGCCCAGAAATTAAGACAAAGCAGACACACGCTTCATTAAGCATCGGAAGACGCGGTCTGCATGCACCGATTCAACACGAAGACCTGTGTGGGCAATGCAACACTCACCGAAGGTTGAAGTTGGAACGCTTTTGGTCCAAAAGACCCTTCGTCGTTGCTATGTCGTTCGCGACCATGAAGTGGGTGCCCAACATGTTGACGTGTATGAGAGGCGAGTCTAACACATATTCAGTATCGGGTCTTCCTTGCCAGCGAAGTCGGGTAGACTAACCATGCTCTTGCGCCCAATTAGCGTACGCAAGCCACTGCCAATACTTCGGGACGTCGAATACGTTGCCTATGAGAGGCCATCCCTTGGGGGGGGCAATGCTTGAGTAAACCTCCGACGTCGAGCAAAGAGGCTATACGAAAGAATTGCGGAGAAGAAGACCACGCAAGCATTGAGGAAAGAAATCGCCATATGATAAGGATGAGTGGGTTAAAGCTCTTAGGGAAATGACACCCGCACGGACTGAGTGTCTTCTTATACGAATTCAATGGGCGGCTTTGCTAGATCACACGATGAGACACCTGGTCCTTGGCGATATGAACTGAACGCTATGGGGTTTCCTTTTGCCGCGAAAGGCATGGCGCGCTTGAGAGGTTGGCAAGAAGCGAGTGTATTGCTGCTGCCATCCGATGAGCCCTTGGGGAAATAGTGTCATCTGCGTGTGAACGCATCGACATGAGCTGTGATTGTTCTTTCCCCGTCAGCTATAACAGTTCAGTTCATGAACTCAGAGACCTACCCGTACGGCGAGTGATTGTGGCCGGCGCTACCCAAATCCATAGGACACGAACCTACATGTCTCCTTTCCTGCTGGTAAAGCTCGCCTTCACCAACTGGGAATTGCAGTCATGGGTGGGAATGCCGAGCGCTCTTTAGAGATTTTGCTTTCTCAGCGCACGGATCGATGCCAGACACGGAGGATCGTGAACTTGAGAAGGTTGACGAAGATGTCTCGTCTGCCTCTGGGAGACTAGGCTCGATACATCCAATGGCTTTGCGCCTACGAGAAAATGGGCGTCAGAAGACCATGTGCGAAGCTCGACTCGGCCCCGGTTTCTGTCTTCTGACTCCTTCATTCCGTGTAAGACGATGGGATGGACGAATTGGCGAAGGCAGATAGGCCTAGGGCGTTATTAGCGACGATTGGGTTTCCATGAACACGGAGCTTGCTCTTGTACTGAGTAATATCTGTTGGACTATGCGATGATGGACTCAAGAAGCCTCTAGTTCAGATTCACAAAGCTAGGCCTGTGACGAATCATGTTAGAAGTTCAGCACGATCATTGCCACACGCACCCTCAATGAGAATGTCATGGACAGGCGAGTCAGGGCTCGAGAGCCTCAAAAATTAGGTCGACGACTTGGACGCGAGACAATGATGTGGATACTTATCTGTGGTTTTAGCGGTTGTTGAAAAATCTGGTGT